GTTTAGAAACATTAGAAAACATAGTATTGTGCTTGTTAAAAATAATTTATCACTATTTATCTTTCAATTGTAAGATTTTTATGTAAGAGAAAAAATTTTTTATGTGATCAAATCTCCTAAGTTTCCCTTTGTGTTTTTTTCTATTACTTTCCTATTCCTATCTTTTTTCTTACCTTGAGATCAAATATTCAGCTATACTTTCTGTAGTTCACAACAGTGTGGTTCCCTCCCCCTCATTATTTAAACCTTCTATGATTTATTTATAAAATATGGTGAGAAGTAGGAACCTAAATTAATTTTTTCCCTTAGAGTTAACTAACTAACATTCACTGGACATTCCCTCTGCCCTCAGGTGGTGATGCCACGTTACCTTATATTGACTTACAGCTTCTGCCAATCTGAGCTTTGGCAGTTCTAATGCTAGTGCCTTCACTGTCATTTCTATTGCCTTACAGATTATTGTAATCTTTGATTGGGCAAGCTGCCCACCCTACCATCTATCATTTATCACTTTACAGATTATTTTAATATTTGATAGGGCAAGCTGTCTACTCCTACTGCCATTTTCCTGGTACTTATTCTTGTTCAAAACTGTCTTGACTATTCTGTCTCATTTGTTCTTCCAGATGAGCTTTAGAAAACACCTTCTCAAGTCAAATTTTTAAAAAGCTCAATAAATTTTTTGGTAATTTTCATACTGAGTTTATATAACATTAGGAATATAATAACAATAAGAATACAATGAAACTTATTATGACTTTTTAAGTCCTTTGCAGATAAAATCATGGCATTTTACAGACCATGGGAGTTGAGATACATGTGTAGATGTGTGAGGTACAGTCACCAAGGAGCCAGGGAGCCTCACGCTGCCCTCTTGTGGGAGCTTGAGAGGGAGGATTACTCCAGGCCCTGTGGAGGGATGACACCGTGTGCCCCGTGCACAAGAACGCACCTCTAAACCGTAGGAGAGCATCAGAAAGTCTACTGCGTTGTCTAATTTAAGAGATGCCCTTTTACGACCTGTAACAAGTTTCTTCCTAATTAGCTTGTCACCTGCCTGAATTTCTATCATTAGAAATTGATTCCTTTCAGCCTCAGCCTCATAATGCCCCTCATTTGAACAACAAAACGATCATTTCAGTGGCTATTTTTACACTTCCCCCATGGATCTTATATGCATAGAAATTAATTCATTACATATACTGGATGCCTTAGGCTTTAGGGCTCCATTCCCTTGGTGAAATCCTGGTTGAGGGTATATTTGTCTTTATAAATGAAAATATCCCTGATATTGTAAAACCTCAAAATAAAAAAAAAAAAGAGCTGTACCAGGGAGATTCATCTAACCTGGCTTGCTGTTGGCCTTTTCTTTGGATCCCAGTTCAACATTTCAGTCATAAGCTGAATAGCTTCATTACTGGCATTGGGAATAATAGTTTTTAAGTTTATAGGAACGCACTGAGGAAAGCGGAAATTCATAGAGGATGCAAGCTGGTACCCTTCTGGCCAGTCACTCTGTTTAAAGGAAACATAAACAGAGGGGTGGGGAAGTAAAAAGAAAATTGTTTTCAGTAATAAATCTAAACACATAGTAATCAGAGAAAACCACACATGTGAAAATGTTAGCATTGGCTCATATAAATAAATGAGAGAATGACCACATATACAACCCAGTGCTACAAACAGTATTCCTGCCAAGGGTGGTGGAACAGGAAGACCAAAGTCATCTGGTTCCTTTTACAATTTGCAACACCCTGGCTTGCCCACCACCCAACTTCTTGTTAGGTGAGAAAAACAACCCTTTATTGTTTAAGCTGAGAGTGGTAAGATTTCTGTCACAAGTCCCAGAATGTACTTTCTGAATACTAATGGACCCAGAAAAGGAAAGGCAGGAAGACTACAAGCTGGAGCCTGACTTTCTCAGAATGACGGTTTTGTTCATGGAAATGAGTGAGGAAGACTTGGCCTGGGGCAGGCAATGAGTTGGTTATATTCAAACTTACATGGGTGGTTTGGGGGCGTGTGGACTACAAAATCCAAAAGGCAATTGAAAATTAGGGAATTTGGAAGCAAGGTCAGAAAACATAGCTATGTATGGGGCAAAAAAATGCTTAAAGAATGGACATGCTGTTGTTTGAAGCTGAGGATGCCACAGCGAGCGATGGTGACAAAAAGTGGTATATGCCAACCTCCATTATACTAGTGTTTTCTTTGACAGGGAGAATGAGCTGCAGACTAAGGAGAATGAAAAGATCCAAAGCCCTAGATGAGTAGTTACTCAAAGGTATACTTAGCTGAGTTCAAGACTCTTATATTGGGTGAATTCTATTTTAGGCTGTTGATGCTCTATGCTGCTGAACAATGTCAGTAATATCAAGTAGTCCTGTATGTCTGAGAAAGGGGAAAATACAAATAATCTTTATAAAGTAGAAGGTGAACTTTTGCAAACTCTGCCTTAATATGTTTGGTATAGGATCAGGGCAAAATTCTAACATCAGTTATTAAAGGGAAAGTTTTGAGCACTAAAGGAAAAGAGTGGTAGATGGTAGCGGCCACCATTTTTCATAATGCAAGTGATGAATACAGGCAGCCAATAGGGACTTCAGCAAAGCAGGTGACAGGGTCTTTCATGCTATCAGGGAAGTAGAGTAATGGAAGGACAACAAAGGTGGGTTAGTGCTGTTATGAACTGAATGTTTATATCCCCCTAAAATTTATGTGTCCCCCCAAAATTTGTTGTGATGGTATTTGGAGATGGGGCCTCTGGGAGGTAACTGGGGATTAGACGAGGTCATGAGGGTGAGGCCCTACCCGAAGCCTGGAGGAGACTCCAGAGCTTGCTCTCTCTCTGCCATATGAGGAAAAAATGAGAAGGTGCCGTCTACAAACCAGGAAAAGAGCCCTCACCAGGAGCCAAACTGGCCAGTACTTTGATCATGGACTTCCCACCCTCCGGAACTGGGAGAAAATAAATTGCTGTTGTTTAAGCCACTCAACCTATGGTACTTTGTTATGGCAGCCTGAGAGGACTAAAAGTACAGAATTCAATGTTCTGACTAAGAGTACTGATTAATGGATCTGTGTCGATCTAGAAGTGGTTCTAGTGGCCTGCCAGTGGCTCATGCTATTTTGTTTATTATGAAGGCACAGGAGAAAAAAAACAAGTGAACTAAACAAATTTATAGGTGGTGATGCTCGGAGGAACGGTTAAACTGAGGAGACAAAATAAGGGTTCAAAAACACTTGTTAGAAAATTGAGAGATCAAGTAAGGTGTAATTTTTTGAATCCCAGAGATTAGAAACACAATGAGAGGTATGGTATATGTAATTCAGTGGTTGTAAAACACAGATTTAGGAATTCTAATTGACACAATGCTCAATCCCAACTCTGGAATTTATTAGCTATCTAAAAATTTGGGGGTGCTTTAATTTAGCGAATGCATACAGGGGGCCTAGCATAGTGCATGGCAATTAGTAGCTACTCAATAAATATTAACTTCATTTCTTTCCCTCTCAGTGTAAGTCAACATTTGATGTGCTTCTGAGAAAAAAACAAAAACACAAATAATCTTGGGAGCACAAATGGATATACAGCTCTGAAATGTTGGCAGTCCTGTTTGACACTCCCTACCTGCCGTCTGCCTCTAGTTCTGGCAGCCTCTCCTAAGTGGCAAGCAGGATGGCAGGGAGCTCAAAGGCCCCTTCATATACAGGAACCTTGGGTTACTCAGAAATCAGTGAATGTGTCCTACATGGAACACGTGAGGGACCTGGGGATGTTTCTTTTAGAGAAAAGGGGAGATACTATCAGGGCTATTTTCAAATATCTGAAAGGCTGCTTTTCCAGAACAGTGATTAACTTTTTTTTTATTAAAGTATTGTTAATATACAATCCTATGTTGGTTTCAAATGTACATCACAGTGGTTCAGCAGTCCCTGTGATCAGCTTATATTGTGATTGAAAATTATTGTGCCCTTTTATACCCTCTCCCCACACCCGGTCCCAACTGCCCTCCTTGGTAACCACTAGTCAGTTCTCAGTGTCTATGAATCTAATGCTGTTTTGTTCCTTCTGTTTTCCTTTGGTTTTAGTGATTAACTTTTATTAAAAGTTAAAGAAAGCCAGATTTTAGCTCAGTATAAGGAAGAACTTTCTAATGGTCAGAATTGCTCCAAAGACTTCTGAGGACCCTGAAGCTGTTTCAAAAATAGCATGGGCAATTATTCATTTATTCAACAGATACTTCTTGAGAATTTTCCATGTGCACACTAGGCACTGTCTGGATTCAGGATCTGTACTGATAAAACAAGACAGACAAATATCCTTGACCTCATGTAGCTTACATTCTAGTAGGAAGAGCCAGATAATAATGCACATAGAAAACAAGTAATTAATAGTATGTTAGAGTGAGATTAGTGCTATTGGGCATATGGCTTATTTATATAAGGATTGCAGGACTGGATAAGGAATTAGACACAGCATCCTTTAATATCTGTTTCAGTCCTAAAATGCTCATAATGCAAATGCATTTGGAATTATACATCATGAAGAGAAGGTTAAAATATAGGGCAACTGATAAGCTCTCTGAACTGAACAGAAGAGGGAAGATGAAGTTTTTTATTATGCCTGACACTTAAAAAAGCCGTTCTGTTCATGGTCATTAGCACTCAGAAACAGTACAAAATTACTGTAAAAATCCTTAGCATTCAGGACCAGCTCTCTTGAGTCCCAGAATCTTTTTAATTCTTTTGTTGAATTCTTTTGCACCAAAGTAACTGTTAAAGTCAATAGCATGCAAACTCTATGTTCATGCTGATAGTTCTTTTCATAAACCACATCGGATTTTAAGTAATCTCATAACAAGCTCCTGCCAGAGGATGCAGGGGCTTTAGCATAAAATAATCTTACATATCTTCTCCTACACTTTTAGGTATGCTTAGAAACGCAGTCCTAACTGAATCAGAACCTTGTATGTAAAGCGTCATCATGGGCTGCTTACGGTTGGCATGTTTTTGACGATACTTGGAAACAGCGTTTGCCCTGGTTTCTGGTGACTCTGCGGCTTTGGGGCTTGCTGGACGCTCACGTTCTGCGGCAGCTGGATGGGCTTCAGTGGCTGGTGGCTGTTTCTCGGCTGGGGCTGCCCTACAGTCTGATCACTTACGTCTGCCAGAGGCTTCGGTTCTAGATCCACTAAAGATGGCTTCAGTTCTAGTGGCTGAACCGGCTTTTTTAAAGACTCTCTCAATTCCAGATGATGTGAGGAAGGGCCTAGTACATGACCAACTTGAAAATACGGGTGTTTCAATGCCTACAAAAGCATGGGAAGAACAAATGGAAAGCAGTTTCATCTGGAATTATTGCACATAAACTGTTGTCCAGCCCCGAGCTAGGCATGTAATCACTAGCCTAGATAAGCTTCAAAGCTTTAGAAAGCATCCGGTTTTCCCCTTCTGTGGTGACTTTAGAAAGCTGCAATGACTTGAGAAAGAAATTTCACTTAAAAAATTAAAAAGTACAAGTTAGTAGGAAAAATGTAAAACCCACTCATAATTGTTAATATCCAGGCAAAGCAACTGTTCTATTTATTTAAAGATTTTGTATGAACAAAACCTAACTTATAAGTATTGGCTAAATTTGATGTGATTAATTCGAACAAAAATGCTAGGTATTCGTAATGGTTAAATCTATCCAAAGGCATTATGAAATGAGTTAAGAAAACCTGCTACACAGTTTATTTTAAATGATTAACTATAATATTATGGAAAATTCAGAGCTACTCTTAATTTAACTACACACCTACTAGCAGTAAAAAAGAAACTTTAAGAAAGGAGATTACAAGTGCATATGTGTTAAAGCTTATTGTAGCAATATACCAGCAAGAGAAGATATTTATGGAAGAAAATACAAAAACACTAATAAAATGATCATTGTGTGAATTTTTACAAGATCAGTCGTCCAATTGCTGCTCTTGCACATTGGTAGGGGGTGCGCCCCTGATGACCGTCTGGGAGATGGAGACTAGAAAAGTGGTTCTCAGCTGCAGGTTGTTTTGCCTTGTGAGAGACACTTGGCAATGCTGGACACATTTTTTATTGTCGCACCTTCGGTGGTGGGGAGGTGCTACTGGCATCTACACATGCTGCCAGGAATGCTGCTAAATAAACATCGTACAGTGAACAGGACAGCTGCCGGCAACAAATAGTTACCTGGTCAAAAATGTCAGTAGTGCCAAGGCTGGTGGCAGTTGGCTGAGAGAATGTCTGCAGCCGTCCGTGCAGCTCAGCTGTGGATACTAATCCCCTTATCAGCACCATATGCCTGAGGAAGGAGAAGTTCCCAGCTGTGCTGTTTAGTGTGTGTGTGGAAGGAGGGCGGGGAGGAGGGGCTCCTTAAGAGAGCCAAGCCCTGTTCCTCTGCAGCTCCTGCCCTAAATCGGTACCCACCTCTGTGTGAGCAAGGCCCCAGCCCATGGTCACCGTCTGCTCGGGAGTGTAAGGGCAGTGTTTGGAGGGACAGAGGCAGCTTGTACGTGGTCCGTGTAGCCCATAACTTAACCTCTCCCTAACTAGGTCTCTCTACTTCCACTAAAAAGCAGGGCTATGAAATAGTAGACAAGAAAAAGGCTAAAGTCAGGGAGGTCTATTTTGGCAGGGGGGAAAGAGTTTTTGTTCTAAGATGTCCCCTAGCACAACTGCTGTTACGTGTTAATTACTTTGACATTGCTAAGTTGACCTCAGCAAATACAGACTCTTTAAATACGTCAGTACCTGATGCACAGTAGGCACTCAAATTCTGAATTGACTAAGTCACATTAACTAGTATGTCAGTAGTTCTAAATTAATAATGTATATATTGGGGCCAGAATCTTTTTGAACGTGTTCTATCATTTCCAGGCTTCATCTATAACAACTTTTTCCTTTTAAAATAGCTACCATCCTTTGAGAAGAGGACATTCTTTAAAAAAATAATAACTTATTTTTTCCTGTTTATTAAGGGAATATCTGATCATTGCACAGAACAAGTATAGAAAGACGAAATTAAAATTACCTCTAATGCCTACATCAGTAGAAAACTTCCCACATCTTGATATTTTTTCTTTTTAGTACCCTTTCTGGTCTTTATGTATATATATATTTTAATGAAACAATATTACATGTATAATATCATAGCCTACTTTTAAACTTAGCATTTGAGCTTGAAAATTCTCTGAAATTGTTTATTTAAAAAATTTCTTTTTAATGGTGGCAAAATAGTCCATAGTAAGAATGTACAGACTTTAAATGTTCCCTTAGAAACATTAGGTTTATACTTTCAATGGGTAGTTTTTAACTAGCTTTGAACATCTTTGGGCATACATCTTTATCCAACTTAACAGGTTGTTTTTAAGGTTCTTTATAAACATTGCAAAATTGCTTTCCATTACGTAGAGGAATAGCCTTTAAACTATTTTTATTTAGTTTTTGCTAATTTGATAAAAAATAATATTTCATTTTTATTTGCATTTTATGCACATGAACATGCATTAAACATTTAAAACATATTTTTGATAATTTCAATTTCTTTCTCTGTGATTTTTTTCATATCTCACGCTCAACTTCTTTTTTAGGTAAAATTCCAAGACTTTTATTATGTTTTTATCATAAAAATAATAAATGTTTAGAAACATTAGAAAACATAGTATTGTGCTTGTTAAAAATAATTTATCACTATTTATCTTTCAATTGTAAGATTTTTATGTAAGAGAAAAAATTTTTTATGTGATCAAATCTCCTAAGTTTCCCTTTGTGTTTTTTTCTATTACTTTCCTATTCCTATCTTTTTTCTTACCTTGAGATCAAATATTCAGCTATACTTTCTGTAGTTCACAACAGTGTGGTTCCCTCCCCCTCATTATTTAAACCTTCTATGATTTATTTATAAAATATGGTGAGAAGTAGGAACCTAAATTAATTTTTTCCCTTAGAGTTAACTAACTAACATTCACTGGACATTCCCTCTGCCCTCAGGTGGTGATGCCACGTTACCTTATATTGACTTACAGCTTCTGCCAATCTGAGCTTTGGCAGTTCTAATGCTAGTGCCTTCACTGTCATTTCTATTGCCTTACAGATTATTGTAATCTTTGATTGGGCAAGCTGCCCACCCTACCATCTATCATTTATCACTTTACAGATTATTTTAATATTTGATAGGGCAAGCTGTCTACTCCTACTGCCATTTTCCTGGTACTTATTCTTGTTCAAAACTGTCTTGACTATTCTGTCTCATTTGTTCTTCCAGATGAGCTTTAGAAAACACCTTCTCAAGTCAAATTTTTAAAAAGCTCAATAAATTTTTTGGTAATTTTCATACTGAGTTTATATAACATTAGGAATATAATAACAATAAGAATACAATGAAACTTATTATGACTTTTTAAGTCCTTTGCAGATAAAATCATGGCATTTTACAGACCATGGGAGTTGAGATACATGTGTAGATGTGTGAGGTACAGTCACCAAGGAGCCAGGGAGCCTCACGCTGCCCTCTTGTGGGAGCTTGAGAGGGAGGATTACTCCAGGCCCTGTGGAGGGATGACACCGTGTGCCCCGTGCACAAGAACGCACCTCTAAACCGTAGGAGAGCATCAGAAAGTCTACTGCGTTGTCTAATTTAAGAGATGCCCTTTTACGACCTGTAACAAGTTTCTTCCTAATTAGCTTGTCACCTGCCTGAATTTCTATCATTAGAAATTGATTCCTTTCAGCCTCAGCCTCATAATGCCCCTCATTTGAACAACAAAACGATCATTTCAGTGGCTATTTTTACACTTCCCCCATGGATCTTATATGCATAGAAATTAATTCATTACATATACTGGATGCCTTAGGCTTTAGGGCTCCATTCCCTTGGTGAAATCCTGGTTGAGGGTATATTTGTCTTTATAAATGAAAATATCCCTGATATTGTAAAACCTCAAAATAAAAAAAAAAAAGAGCTGTACCAGGGAGATTCATCTAACCTGGCTTGCTGTTGGCCTTTTCTTTGGATCCCAGTTCAACATTTCAGTCATAAGCTGAATAGCTTCATTACTGGCATTGGGAATAATAGTTTTTAAGTTTATAGGAACGCACTGAGGAAAGCGGAAATTCATAGAGGATGCAAGCTGGTACCCTTCTGGCCAGTCACTCTGTTTAAAGGAAACATAAACAGAGGGGTGGGGAAGTAAAAAGAAAATTGTTTTCAGTAATAAATCTAAACACATAGTAATCAGAGAAAACCACACATGTGAAAATGTTAGCATTGGCTCATATAAATAAATGAGAGAATGACCACATATACAACCCAGTGCTACAAACAGTATAGAAAGAACATTAAACTGAGAGGAAGAAATGAGAAAGCAATTTATAAATTTCAAAATATTAAACCCTTATCTGGTTTTTGAAACCTGAGGTTCACGATATACCCAGGAGACTTTGAGTAAATAGAGACAAGTGAGTCACAGAGGCTGAGGACTAACTACAAAGATCCTCATTATATGTTATGCATTGCATTATATCATTATATGGTATCAGACATGATGTTAAAACTGCACATGGCTGGGAAATGACAGTTATGTTGAGGCTTTAATAGCTATGTTTACTTGCTAATATTAACTACAAGGCACGTAATTAGGATGGAATTATACATATTTCAACTTATTAAGTACATCTCAGAAAATAAGGTCTAGATGAATGCAATAGTTAATTGAAAAGTGCTCAGTTCAAGAAATCAAATATCCCAGGAGAGGAAGGCCACAAACCAACAAACCAACAAGAAATCAAATATACATAGCAGGGCTACATAAAAAAAGAAATAAGGAAAGGTTATAAGAAAATAAGTTCCAGGATACCTGGAGTTAATGAGCTGATGCCACTGGACATTCACTGAGCAAGTAGGAAAGTGTCTAAGCAAGGGTGTTTGTGTAGTTGTCAGCTGGTCATCAGTCCTAAGTTAAGTACATAGAATTCTAAATACAGAGAATTTTCCCTTAAGTTCTCAAAGAAAGGCAAGCCCCTTTTTTCTTCAGTCTGCTGGGATTCTGGCTTTTCACATTGCTCATCCCACCCCATACAAAAAATAAGAATTATAAGAAAACTAACCATGAAAGCCATTTGAAAATGAAAATATCAGATAGCTAGGCAAAAGTTATAAATACTCAGAAGTTATAACAACATAAGGACAAGAGTACTTACTTTTTTGGGAGTCCCTAAAACTTGGCAAATCTTAAAGATTTCATCAACCTCACTTGTCCCTGGGAAAAGTGGTCTTAATGTGTATAGTTCAGCCATTATACTCCCAACGGCCCACATATCAATGGGAGAGCTATAAACTGAAGATCTTAATAAAACTTCAGGAGCACGATACCTATGAAGACAGAAAACACAACAAAACCGAACAGGTTATCTTGATTGTAGTTTCAAAGATGGAGTGGCAGTAGGATTCTACTCTGTTTGGTCATGCATCTCAACCAAGGGACAGGTTATTAAATGCCTTCTGTGCATCGGGCATCTGCACAGTGAGTTGGGGTTAAATTGGTTTACTGACCACAAACAATTAGTGGAGCTGGAGACAAACATAAATGAAATGTCCAAGTAGCCTAAGATAGGAACTGAAACAGTAAATATGGAAATAAGTGCTATATATTAGGAAAAGGGAGAGAAGAACTCTGAATGGAAACAGATGTATTCTGAATGGGAATAGTTACATCATTTACAAAGCATTATATCCGTGATATATTCAAATGAAGGTTAGAAAACAACAGCTTTTTGGCTATTATGGAAAATGCTGTTATGAACATTCATGTATAAGTTTTAGTGTGGACACGTGTTTTCATTTCTCTTGGGTATGTACGTAGGTGTGGAATTGGTGAGCATATGATAAGTATATGTTTAGACACTGAAGATCCAGAGTATTTTGCAGCATTTTACATTCCCACCAACAGCATATGAGGGCTCCGGTTTCTCCACATCCTTGCCAATCCTTGTTATTTTGACAAATATTTTTATGACTGTAACTAAGTGATTGATTAATTTTGGATGTTTTGCCAATTTAGATGATGAAAACAAGTCTTGTCACTTTCGTTCCATTTCCGTATAGAATCTAAACTTACCCAGTTGAAAACAGACATCCACTCAACATAAAACAGTCCACCACGGACACCAAGAGCCCCACAGCCTTCCCCACCCCAACTGGTGCTGACTCCATCCTTCCAGTTGCTCAGGGAAAAAAACCCTTGGAGTCTGTGACTCCATTACCCTAAACCCTACAGCTGGCTCCTCAGGAAATTATGTTTGCTCCACTTTAAAAATGTACCCCTTCACCACCTCCAGTCACCAGGTCCGAGTCAGTGTCATTTCCTGCCCGAGTCACTGTAACAGCCCGCTTTCCTGGTCTCCCTGCTTCCGCCCTTGCTCCTGTAAAATCTATTTTTCATTTGGCAGTCGAAGTGGTACTTCTTAAACCTGTCGGGTCACATCATACCTCTTCTCCAAACCCTCCAGGGGCTTCCCAGTTGCTCAGACTGACAAACTGCCACAGTCCTTACAAAGGCCAGTAAGGACCTGTGAGATTCGGCCATTCCGTGAAGCTCTCACCTCATTTCCTACAACTGCCTTCCTTCCTCCTCCCGCTCCTTGCAGAATTCCCATGGGGCGCTCCTGTCCCAGGGCCCTTACAGCTCTGCATTTTCTCTGCCTGAAAACTTTGTGCTGGCCCCGATATATCCTCCTGGGCTCTTCTCAGTGAGACCCTCTATTTAACAGAGCAACATGCCCATTCCCTCCCTATCTCCCCCAACTCCCTGTCCATATTTTATTTTTCTCTATAATAATGTATCACCATCTAATATTTAAATACTTATCTTGCTTTTACTAAACACACAGATGTTAAGAAAGAGTACAGCTTGACGGATTTCCACAAATACAACGCACCCACGGACCCGGCACCCGTATCAAGAAACTGCATGTTATCAGCATCCTGGAAGGTCGCTCTCTGGCACCCTTCCAGTCACTGCCCCCCCGACCCCCACCAAGTAACCACTATCCCGACTTAACAACATAGATCAGTTTTACTCTATTTTTGCAATCTATAAATGGAATCATGCAGTATGCGCTCTTTTCATGTTTGGCCTCTTCCTCTCAACATCGTATCTGTGAGATTCATCCACATTGTTGCATGTAGTTTTAGACATGTCACTCTGCTATAAAGCATTCTGCTGGGGAATGTGTTATGCCTCTGGTGATGGACATTTGGGTAGTTTGCAGTTTGGAACTACTGCCTGTCTTCCGATGAATATGTGTATGTCTTCCTGTTGGTAACCCATGATATTTTTAACTTGTTATTTGTATACTTACTGTCATGTAAACAGCATTAAAGAGAGATTTTTTTTCTGTTTAGTTCACCTCTGTGTTCCCAGTGCCTAAATAGTATCCAGCACATAGTAGGTGTTCAGTAAATATTTGTTGAATGAGTGAATAAAATCCTTTTTCCTTCTCTTTTTTCATTAATCACAATAGTCACAACTTAATCCTCTCCAAAAAAATACAAAATTCAGGTCTATATTTTGTTTTAGATACTCCAGAAATATATGTAACAACCCATTGTAGGAAACTTCAACACAGACATAGACCTCTAGAAAGTTGCATAAACTACTCACCATCTGGTAGATACATAATCAGTATACGGTGGCTGTGACCTTAATTCTCTTGCAAGTCCAAAATCAGCAATTTTCACAAGTTCTGGACCCATACAAAGCAAGTTTTCTGGTTTCATATCCCTATGAAAAAAACCTTGGTGACACAGAGAGGAAAAACACTAATAAATCATCATGCTTAAACTTATTTAACTTACAGAGAAAATATAACTGGACCTCCCTGTTGTTATTAGGAATGTGAACTTAGGAAAAAAGTAAACCGTATTATTGTCCAAAAGTAATGGAAGGCAGGGGCCCCGCTTTAGAAATAATTTGGCAAGAAAGTTCACACAGTAAACCATCCATTTAACATGTATTTCTATTTGTGCATCCAGTAGGTTCGGGTGCTGACTGGACACTGCCACATCATGACTTTCTCCATGAATTTGCACAACCTTAAGAAGGAATTACAATTCCTACTGTGTAGGAGATGGGGAGGTTGAGGCTCATGGAAGCTTGGAGGCTTCAGTCAATGCAGCTGGTCTTACTACTGCTCTACCACATTGTGGTTTAACATGAGAGTCCTTCAGTATGATCACTTACTTGAAAAGTCCATTAAACAAAAATAGAACTCCACACACTTTAATACGTTCCTTCATTTAAAATTATCTTACTTAACAGCTCAGTTCTCTTCTGGTAGCTGCTTTATTGAAAATCCCAGTAATTATAATACCCATTTACCAATTCAACATATAAAATAAATGGTTAGTTACTAAGAGGAAGCCAATGAAAATGAGGCAGAGAACCAGGAAGAAGAAAACTGTGAAAGCCCCCCTTGCAGATTTCTAAGGGATCTAAAGCCCGCTGGCTGTGTACAGATGGCTTGTATGCTAATAGCCTTGTGAAGTGGGAGAATTAAAATCGGCCTGTCATCCTTTCTAAGTATCATTAATGAGAAGGTTTTCATGTAGCTCTGGGTCAGGAAGGGTTTCTAAGCTTCAACTGCTTTTAACCCCTTCAAAGCCAGTGCGGGCTCTATGTTTGTGATACCTACAACAGTTTGGTTCTCAGTTTATCTGGTACTCCTAACTCAAAATAGCTGTTAAATCCATTTCACTAACTTGTAAGAGAAATATATTGCACTTTCATAATGAGAAAACAGGAATGGGAACACCTGTGATGGTAAAGTGACATTATCCATAAAATTTTAAGAGAAATAAACCAATTACATATCTGTACAGCTGATGTTTTCTCGGTCCTCACTAATATACTGGTAGCTTAGTCCTATTTTAACTAATATTAGTCTCATTTCTGACAGGTATTTTTTTAAAAAGATCTATTTTCCTCAAAGCATTACCTGTGAAATGCTTATGAACTATAGCAAGAATAATTTCATTTTTGTAAAGACGTCCATCGTCTTTTCTGGCTTCCCAAATCACTGTGAGGTCAATTACATTGCCAACTCTACATTATTCATATGTTATTTTCTTTCAGCAACAATTTTTAATCCCAAGTTAACTTCCTCCTTAAATCTCTTATGCTCTGAAGCTGCTGATAGTTGATGTATATTCTAATTTTTAAAATATCAATGTAACAGACAGTTCTTTCCAAAAATCAAAGAATTCATGAGGTTTCTGATTTTCCACATCTCACTCCAATTAACATAAATTAGCTCAGGCAAATATCAAGAGTTACCATGCTACCACAGTGATCTTTGAATACCTATGTTCAGAATACAGTAGTGGAATGGCAAACTTTTCTAATTTAATACCTAAACATCTAGTGATTCTAAACCAATATTTGCTCAAATTTTGCATAATAATTGTGATACAATGAGTCATAAGAAATACATATTTGGTCACTCCTATGACCAACTATATATTTCCCAGGTATATTTGGTCTTCATTCACAGTTCCTGAAAACACTTCAGAGCCTTAAAGATGAAATAGGTGTCTTGTCACCTTAATGAGACTTTTGGACCCCACCCAAGGGCAGGGCTGGAGGCTGAATCAGCCAATGGCCAATAATTTAGTCAATCATGACTGTGCAATGAAGCCCTCAGAAAAACCCCTGAGAAGAGCTTATCACTCTCTGCTTCTCTGTTGGAGAGGACTTCTCCGCTTGGGGAACCAGAACATGTCTCCACGGGCCACTGAGCCAGGCCCCAAGCTCTACAAGGATAGAAGCTCCTTTATTTGGGACCTTGCCTTATATGTCTCTTTACCTGGCTGCTACCTTGTATCTTCTGTGGTATCCTTTATTAAACTGGTAATTGTGTTTTCCTGAGTTCTGTGAGCGGCTCTAGCAAATTAACTGTACCTAAGCGGGAGGTCCTTAGAACCTCCAATCTGTAGCCAGCAAGTGAGAAGCACAGGGAACTGGTGTCTGGAGTGGGGGATGGAGGGCAGTCTTGTAGGGTGGAGACCCTAGCCTGGGGAATCTGGTGCTCTCTCCTGGCAGCGTCAGAACTGAGTTCTAAATTCTCGGGCACCCTACTGGTGTTCGAAGATTGCCTGGTGTTGTGTATGGGAAGACACACACCCACCCATGAAAATAATTGTACTGTTACTGCTATATACTATTATTGTTGCATATGAAGAAAAAAAACCCAGAATAATCATATTAACTTTTGGACTAATTACTTTGGTTTGACACATATGCAAAACCTATATAAACTAAAATACCATGTATAAGAAATTCACAAAAATGAAAATAAGCACTTGCTTAAATTTCACTTGAAGGATAGAAACAACTAAATGTAAATACTAAGGAAAACTAAAAAATACCATAGCATGGGTGCTTTAAATTATTTGGCCAGTGTAGATCAAAGCATTCCAATCTTTTCCAAAAGAGGGGCTATCGTTTTTTTTTTCATTTTCATGGTAAAAATTAGGGGGAATGAGGTTGCAGGATGAGTTTATGATGACTGAGTCTAAAGGCTAATGATCAAACCACTGAAAAATTCTGCTATAGAGGAAGATAGTTATAGATTATAGGAATTGTATTTTATATAGAATTATAAAAATTTCTAAATTTTTAAAATAAAAATATGCATGTAGGCATATACTCAAAACTTGTACTTATCAATAGAATATTATTTAATAGTTTATATACAATTCCTGTGCAAGACCTTGACAATAATCTAAAGAGGCAGGGAAATGAAAGAAAAGAAACCTACCATGTTTATGGATAAATGCCAGCCCTTGCAATATTTGATACATAATATTTCTGATAACTGACTCAGGGAACAACTTGTTTCTGGGGAAAAACAAACAAATAAACAGTCATGTAATTCTGTTAATCAACCAAAACAGACAAGGAGGTAGACGTTCCTCCTCCCCTGGAGCTCCTGTTGGCCGCATGAAAGTGGATAAAGGTCTGATTTACAGCTTTCACAGCATTAAAAGGCCATAAATTTAAAACATGAAATGTAGAATTTTTCTTTATTTTTAATGTGTGGTGAAAACTTAAAATACCGGATGTACTATACAAATATTCAGTAGCCAAATTCTGAACTCCCAAAAGGAGCAAAGGAAATTGGAAAACTGGGTCACTATCAGATAAACCAGTTGCAAATCTGTGTTACATAGGCTTTGAGGGTTTGGGGGGCATCACTGCTTCCATTCTATATTGGGTATCGGTATTGTCCAATAAAAAAATAATAGGAGCCCCAAATGAGAAACACTTCCTTATTTAAAGCCTTTCTAGTAGACATGTCAGAAATAGCAAATGAAACAAGTGAAATTAATTATTAACAGTATATTTTATTTAAAATAATGTAAGTAATGTTCAACATGTCAACATGTAATCAATTTAAAAGCTACTACTGCAGTTTCATTCTTTTTTTGCAACAAGTTTTCAAACTTTGGTGTGTAGTTTTATTTTACATTTGCAGCACAGCTCAGCCCAGATTAAGCACATCTCAAGAGCTCAAAAGCATGTGACTGTGTCAGGCAGTGCAGCTTTTTAGTGTGTTTACCTAAAGCCCACAGTGAGATCCTAGTAAGGGCTAAATTAAGGCTGACAAATATCAATTGCAACCATGCCATAGATTAATGTGATCAATACATCAATTCTTTGACCCTGAGTGAATTCTTCTTTGACCCTGAAGCCATGCTATTTTGGAAGTATTCATTTTAAGGTTTTAAACTTTACCATAATTTCAACATTTTCTAACATCTTTATTTCAGCATGATTGATTGAATTAATTTAGTGTTTATTCAGAATGTTCTGAACATACAGAAAATGGCCAGTTTTTCAGCATTATATTGTTAATTATATTATATGCTTATTGAATGTTCTTAACTGTCCCACCAAATGGGCTAGAAACATACAATAGACAAAGATAAGCGCTGGCTATATCAAATTTGAAAATAGTATTGATCATATATTACTGATATATTTTTAAATATTTGTATAAATATAGAAGTATTATATAAATATCACTTTTATAAATACAAAATGTTTAAAAACATATTTTTACCCTTGCCAACAATTTAAATTTGTAAAAAGAATGCTACATGCTGAAGGTATAGTTAACAGTATCAGAGCAAAAGTCTATGTGTATTGGTCTGAAATGGAAAAGAAGTTAACTTGAATAAAAGAGGCTTTTAAATTAATCTTGACCCTCAAAGCAATGTTTCGGGAAGTTAAGCTACCAGAAACAATGTAAAAAAAATACTTAACCTCAAATGGCCATGTATAAAAAAAAATGGATACCATGTACAATTGTTAATGGCTAAATTTATACCTTTGACATTGAATAATATCCTAAACAATATCACTTCTATTTCCATTTAATTTAGAAATCCAGAATTGAATCATTAAATTTCAAAGTTAATTCTTTTTGGTGTCCATTTTCTATTGCACTAACCACTTCCACTGACAGATTTATTTTTAAAATTAGATGAAAGTACATTTCATGTATGTATATGTACTTAATTTTTTTAACAGCTGTATCTCAATATGTCATGTTTGTCATTTCACACATTTTAAAGAGCATACATTAGTATCAGAAGCCAAAAAATTAAGATTACCAATAATCTCACAACCTGATTAAGAATTTTGATTTTCCAGTATTCTAATCCAGTCCTAACCAGTTGCATATATAACTTTCATATTAGGTATCAATGTTATCTATATATAATTTTGGTTTCTGTTTTTTCATCCATTTTATAAGCATTTTTATAATCTTTGTCACTTTTGATGGCTACAAAGTAATTCCATCAGTATTATATACAATAATTAAGAACATATTCTTCCATTGATAGTTATTTCCTTAAATAGTTGAAAGACATAAGTGAAACTTAGTATAGTCAATTAACAGTACATACTAACCACGGTAACTATGAAGATTATGTATTAGCATTAAAAAATGCTCATTAAGTGAATGAATCAAATAAAACATTTATCACAACTAAAATTACAACTATGTAAAAAATAGTACACATGCCTGTAATGCAAGGACTAGGAAGAACTCTAGAAAAATAAACACTGATTTGAGGGGTAAAAAATTTTCTTTACTTTAATTTTAACTGCTATTAATGTTATAATGATATTAGCCTGGAACATACAGACATTCAGTAAGTATTTTCTGAAAGAAGGGAAAATGTGATTAAAGAAAAATTGACTCACCATCCTTGGACCTCGTGTGTCTATATATGAAATAAATACAGAGAGACAAATCATCATTCCACTGGAAATTCATTTCTAAAGTACTTTAGGAACTTTTGTTGAACAACTCTGGCTTTAAGCAGGCAAAATGGACATTAATCTCCCAAATGTGACTAGCAGCTTCCGCCAAAATATCATCTTCCCCCAAGCTCATAGCAGATGCCTGATGCTCTCCCTCTTTAGGGACTGACTGCTCATAGGCTTAAAAATTAAGCATTCTAATGAATGAGTTTACTAGGCTGCTTCTTAGAAGCTATTTCATTCTTTCCTCCATTCTTTCCTTAATCTTTCACAAAATGCCGGGAGAGCAATGAAGATAATGCTCTCAGTTTTGCCCAAGGCCAACTTTACTACTGAGTTTAAACTACAGATAGTGGTTGTTTCAAAAAGTATAGATAGTATGTGTGTTTATATGCAATGTTTATCTTGACTTTTAAGAGATTTCAACAGAAAAATGGTGGCTATTATCAGAGCTGGATATTAATGTTAGGTGTTATCCTTTGATAAAGATAACTAGCTAATTTAAATCCACCCCCTTGGAGTGATAAATCGTTATATTGTAAAGTGTGACATATGGAAGGGATCCCAGGAACTCATGGAAAAAATTAGTTTTCATAAAATAAAGACATACCTGTCTTTCATTAATTGATAGAGGTTTTCTTTCATATATTCAAATATAAAATAAAGATGGTCATTTTCTCTGATAACTTCTTTCAGTTTAATCACATTGGCATGGTTAAGTTTCTTCAGAGACTACAACACAGCAAACAAACATTAAAATTCTTAAAGCAAAGTCGGAGAGGTTGGCAAGATCTCATCAATGGTAAGTATGAGTTACCTTATATAATTTTCCATTTCTTCTGAATTCATTAATGAAGTTTTAATATCTGTTTCATGTCTAAAAACATTTGAGAACACCTTTTCAAAGCAAGCAGTAATTGTTTCAAGAAATGAATGTAAGTGTAAAAATAAACCAAGTCAACAAGAGCTACCAAACATTTCAATCTGTCACTTTTTTCTCAGTCCATTAAACAGGACTAACGTTTTTATGACTTGATCATGTAAAATTCCAGGCAAAAGTCTCCAAGAATTTACCCAACTCATACAGCATAAAATATAATGAAATGGCATATACCAATTTTAAAAAGTTGTCATTCCTTTGGTAACATGAACTAAAATACTTAAGGAAGATAAAGGAAAAACAAAAGAAATACAAAGATCTTTGGACTGCTTCCCACACAGAACAGAATACTCTCCTCAGCTACCGTCCTCTGAAATGCAAGAGGCATGAGGCGGCACTAAGGCCTTCTTGGGTTCATCTCTGGGATTTTACCTTAACTTCTCTCAAGTTCATACATTCATCCCAAGAATAGAACTTCCTCTTCATCCTGAAATAAAAAAAGAAAAGTTGAGTGAAGATTTGCAAACACAAATGACACCATCAGCTTTCTTAGTTCCCTGGGCAAGCTAAGATATCTCTCTTCCCTCCACCTTGAAAGGAAATCATCTGCCTTCTACATTTCTCAAGGGTATCTGGTACTGGTAAGACTATGTCTTACCTGAAATTCTGTTTTAACAAAAAGGTGAAGGAATTACCATTAATTTTTCTTTGTGGGTGAGTTCCTAAATTTCTCTAATCAGTTAATTGTGCTTTTCTAAAAGGGCCCCTTCCAAATTTCCTCTCTTTCTGGATGGAACATAAGAGATAAATATGAAACACTAAGGTAGAATGGGGAAAATCACAACTTTGGTAGCGAATTTAGTGAAATGACTTGATCTGACAACTTCTATATCCTTACCTCAGCTTTAAACAAGAGGAGCATAAAGTTAAGTGATTTAAGTCAACAAAAATTCAGAAGCAACCAAACATTAGAAATAGCTTTCTTGAATTTTGTTCTTTACCCCTTTCCATCACAATGTTGGTTATCATTAGGTATAAATATACCAAAAGTGAATGTAAGGTAATAAAGTAATTCTATACACCATAAATAGAGCTTATATTTTGAGATAAGAAAAAACAGGACTCAATCCAAAAAAATGTTTCATCAAGTATAGAAATTACAAGGCTGGATTATGAAAAATAAAAATCCCCTATGCCCTACTCCTCTCACTTGGTATTATAATCACCTATTGAGATGTTCTAGAAGATTCTCAGGAAGCTTAAAGTTATGTTTATTAATTAAACTAACTCCTATTGGAATTATCCTGCATCTCTACAAGAGTATAGTATGTATACAGGAGAAAGGAAATGAGTAGAGGAAAGGCAGGACACCATGGCAGTCAAGATGTGGGCCATGGAACTGCCTGCCTGGGTCCAAAATCCTTGCTCAGGCTCACGGACTGCATGACCTCAGAACAATTGCCTAATGACGTCTCTCTGCCTCACATTCCATAGCTCAAAAGAAGAAACCACTGCATGAGAAAAGCTTACTGTAAACTGCTTAGTTCAGCCCTTGGTAAACACTAGCTGTTCTTATTTTTACCAATATCTACAATCAGCTACAGTAAGACATGAAAAGCATCACTGTTATTATTTCTACAATATCCTGGGTGAAGCAGAATTTCACTTACACTTACTCAGGTGCTAGAAATTTATGGAGCTTGAAGAGGTTTCGGCCTTACTGACTTATCAAAAGATACTTTTCAATGCTATAAAACTACAAATGTCTTGCTAAAATAATAAAGGTAAATACAGCACAAAGATCAATTTAAAATAAAAGTCAATGCACACAGAGCTATTAAAGTAGTTTGATAAAGTGACCAAATCCATCACAAACTGCATATATAATCAGCTATGAGTCTTAAAAAGTAATTACAGAACTTTTTCATCCAATTTTCTAGGACCTACATAATTATTCAAGTTACTTTTCACAGTTGAGTACAAATTAAAACTTTCATTCTGCCTGAAAATCTGTACTACCTAAATCCACATGTGCTAATATGCTACTTCCTTGCCAGCAATTACTACTTTTCAGCCATCCCACCCTAAGGCAATGAATATATCTATATGCAATAAATACGCAAGTTTCCTTACACAACAGTTGTCCCAATTTTATCAAACAATTTAAAGAAATAAATTTTAAGGAATTAAACCAATTTGTTAGAACAGCTAAGAAAAGGCAGTTCTTTCTGGGTTCCCTGCCATCTTCCCTTCCATTTACTCATTCACCAAATGCCTCCTAGTGCCAGGTCAACGAATGAATCGGAGATGGTTACCAGGTGCTGCCCATCTAACAAGAAAGAGACTTCAGACTTGTTAACACAAAACAGACATACATACAAATTAGTTATAAGGACCATGAGATAAAGGACTCTTTAAAAATACATAATGGCCAGTCCTTTTTGGTAATGCAAGGTGACAGTTGAGACCTGAAAGACAGAAGATGCCAGTAGGGAGAGACTGAAAAAAAAAGTTTCTTTTCAGCCAGACAGACACAGCTAGAAAGAGCTTGCTAGTTAAAGGAAATAAAAGACCCTTTCAGGCTGATTTTATTTCTTCAATGCCCTGAGCTAATTTTCATGGCAATTCCCAACAAGTCAGCTTAAGAAAATGATATTATTATTAGCAGGTCACCTTTTCTGCCCTGCCTTTTCTAAAGAGCACATATCACCTTCTCACATACCATATAGTATACTTATTTATTACAGTTGGTCCCCCTCTCCTCAAGTGTTAAGCGCCTTGAGGACACCTTGACAGGTTTTGACACATAGCAAGTGCTCAATAAGTATTTACAAAGTGACTGGATGGATGTCTCTACTCACAGATGGACTCCTGAGGAGACCCTGAGAAAAGGAATTTCCTTGCAAGTCCTTAAAGGGTGGAGAGCTTACTAAGTAAATGTTAATTTAATAAGGTGAGGGGATCTTACTACCATCCTCTAGGGTGAATTCTGTTACAGTTTTTTAATGGCAGCAGATAACACAAAGTTTCTCACCAGATATCTAAGTTCACATTTCCCAAAATAAATTTTCAAAGTGGTAGTTTGTCTTGCTCTATATAGTATTCTCCCAACTGCTAATCACGCATCCTCCAACTCAGCCTAGCCAGTTTTGACTGCATTTCTAGACAGCTCAAAAGCCTTGCTCACTGCTTGCTGACTTTAGCACAAACTTCCTTCTGCATGTTCACATTCCCAAGTTGTGCGACCCTGTCCCTCGTGTACTCGCCACCACGCTGCACCTCGTTTTCCCTGGTCATCCCTGCACTGTGCGAGTCCTCAGACTGCTCTCCTCTCCCTTCTCCACATCCCTCTTACCGGGTCTGATTCTAACAGCCAGCCACACCCCGACACCTGTCTCCTGGCTCTTCTGTTTAAAAGGTTTACAGAATGAAAAATGCCCACTTCCAGATAATCAATTTACCTTCGAGGGGACATGTGTATTGTCCACTTTGAACATTAAGGATAAGCAGCTCTTCATCTGCTGCCCAAAATGTATCCAACATGGAACTTAGTTTTAATTTTTAATCTACCATGTATGGATTTAAAGTGTTATACAAAGTTATGCTTAGGATATTTATGGCCTAAATATGTAGTACCTAAAATTTTATACCTCCAAGCATGAGATGATGGTCTTGATTGGATATTATGGAATGTAAGTTACTTTGATAACAAACAAGGATAAATTGAGACTGGAGAATAAGGGGCCCAGTATCTGTAGTTTCAGAAGTTTATTTCTTTGCATCAGGCTTAAGAGAAATGGTATAGCCTTCTGTATGACTCCTATAAGAAACATAAGGTCAAAAACTGTCTTCATGCTGTCTTGTTCAGAACGTTTAAGAGTAACAGCTATGTGTACATTCATGTTGATAAGCATGCTAGTAGCCTGGCTTCATAGTTCCTTAACTCCAGAGATGTTCAGTGCTATCCCAGCCAGTCACTCATGAACACCTTGTTATCGTGGGAAATGGTTCTCAACCTAACTTCAGACTGACCATAAACTCCTACCTTTCTACCATCACTACTATTGGATTTGCTGCATACATCCACTTGTTCAACACGTGGCTTTGCTTGCCTCCTCATCCAGCTTGGATCCCACAACCGGCCTTGCCACCACTATCCCCTCAAGAGCACATACATATTCCAAATGCCCCCCACCAACATTCCACCACTCCTGCTTGCCATCCCCTGGTCTCTGCTCTTTGTACAAATCGGTGAAGGCACAAAGAAAAGTCATGCAAACGCTCCCATTTGCTCCACTTTAGTGTTCACCCCATGTATCTCAGTTGGGCTTTTACCCATACTTGGTGATCCTTCCACAACTTTCTTAGTGACTTGGTAACAGGTCCTCCCCAACTGTTCAAAGCTCAGTGCCTCTGCTACCTCACTTCTTACTACTCCTCGCCCTACTGAAATCTGGCTTATCTCCTCTCTGTTCCACTGGAACAACGCTCACCACAGCCACTAATTACGGCATCTTCCCCAAATCTAAGGAACACCATGCCAGATAATATTGTTTGGATACCAGAAGGCCATTTCCAGCCTCCCACCTTTTGCCTCCTCGTATAGAGGCTGGAATTGTAGCTACTCACTTCTCAGCCTTCCTAGGACCTAATGGAGATCATGTGATCCAGTTCTAGCCAATAAGATGCAGGGGGAAGCCACCAGGGGACTTCTGGGAAAGAAATTTTACTTCCTGATTGAACATGAGAAAAGAATTTGCTTGTATGATTCTCCCTTCTCCCTGCCTTGAACATGGATGTAATGCTTGGAAGTGAGGTAGTCACAATGTGGCCATTAGGTGATACATTTGAAGACAGACAAATTCTAACAGCTCAGTATGAAGATGATAGAAAAGGCCTGGATTCAGTATCTGGTTAAGCCTTTGAAAGAGCCCTGGAATCAAACTCCAGATTTCTTGATAAAGGAAGAAAAATAAACACCTCTTTATTTAAACCATTTCCATTAATTTGTTTCTGTTACTTGCAGCAAGAAGCATTCCAAAGTAACCCAGATGCTTTCCAGTCATTAATTACTACTTTTCCAGTTGAGCACTTTTTCTTTAGATCTTTCCTTTGGGTCCAGGTATTTTCTACACTCTCCTAGTTCTTTCCCTACCTCTCCAGTGACTCCTTTTCAATCTTCTCTGTGAGATCATATTCCAGGGTCCATTCTTTATATGTTGGGGTTCCTTAGTGATCTACAGCAAGACCTCTTTTCTTCTCCCTCTGTTTCAATTACCATCTGTAGACTAACAACTCCCAAAGCACCAAACCAGACCTCTGTTTTTGAATTTTAAATGCAAATATTCAACTGCCTACAAGCATCTTAAAGTTATTACATCCAAAACTTTACAAAACTTCACCCAAGCCCAAGATTTCCCCTTCCCTGTCATAGCAAAAGGCACTACCACTACCATTTAAGCCAGAATCCCAGGACAGCCTGGATTTTCACCCATTCTTCACTCCTTCCCCATGCTCAGTCACCAGTCCCTACAGAGCTTGCCTCTCTAAATGTCCCTTGAATGCTTCCATTTATGTCCATACCCAATGTTATTTTCCGAGATCAGGTCCTGCCACCTCTAACGCAGATGACTGCACCAGTCTCCTAACTGGTCACCTTGTGTCCAGCCTTGACCACTTTAATCAAGTCTCCTCTCTTTTGCTAATGGGATTGTTCTAAAGCAGTATTGGATCACATCTACTCTCCAGCTTAAAATCCATCACTTTCTAGTCCTTAAAGTATACAAACTCCTTAACCTGGGTTCATGACTTCACCCCCTGGCCTCATGTCCCTCCTCTGCCCCACACATCATCTACACTATGGCCACCTACCCCTATTTCAGTTAGTCGACTCCAGTCAGGCCTCCAGGCCCACACACCTATTGTCCTTAATGCCTGCAGCATTCTTCCCTATCCTCTTTAGCTTGATAATTTTTCTCACTCCTGATATCTCATTTCCTAAGGGAAGCTTTCCAAGATACTTCTCCGGATAGTTTGTCTGTACCTGCATAGGACCCAATATTCCCACCACACAGACTTATATTTTCTGTTTAATTCATATTTAATTCATTGGCCTTCTTCACTACATTGTAACTCATTTATACCACTCCCATTTTGTCCTGAGCACTAAATGTAGTAGGAGCTTAACAATTACGTGTTGAATGAATAAATTCTCTTTAAGCCTTGCATGTGACTTTTTTCACTCATTTTTGCCTCGTCCTTACTTAAATTAGGTACACTGTCTGGTACACTGTGGATCCTTAATGTGGCAGACACTGTGAGTTGACTATCCATAAACCACTCTTCTCTTCCTCTTTACTAAGTAAGGTAACTCAGCTTTTATTCATGGCTCCAAAATGCCCAGTTAAGGACTCAGTTTCCCAGCCTCACTTGTAGAAGGTGTGCCACGTGACACACTCCTGGCCAATGAGAAGAAATCAACAGCATTCTGGATAGGATGTGGTCTTCCCTATTTAAAAAAGAGTGCAGTAGCCGACAACCTCAGCTCTTCTCCCATTTCTTCTTGCTTGGAACTCATATTCAATGCCTAGAGCTGCAGCAGCTATTTTTTTTTTGAAGACAGAAAAACATATGTCTGTGATAATAGCATTGAGATAAGGCACTAGCCCTGGGCTGCCTATCTCAAGACTTTTTATTATGTGAGAAAAATAAATCCCTATTGAAGTTACTTTTGGTTAGGTTTTTTATTTCATACATCAAAGCATTCCTAAATTGTATACTGATGGCGTCTTCTCAGCCATCAATCTATTTGACTTCTTACAGTATTTGATACCTCAATTCTCTCCAGGCTTTACCTAGATCTACACAGGTAAGGTCCAATTCCCCATTGTATGAAATTGAAGAATAAAATAATATATGGTTTTGCCACCCATGAGGAATAATGAACATTTTGTTACATAAAGCAGAATAGTGGTAATAACCCTGCATGATTTCATCACCTCAACCCTCATTCTTATTTTCTTAGTCCCCCCAAAACCACAGCTTTCATGAACTGTATGTGTATCTTTACAGTCCTTTAAAAATATTTTTACAAATTCATTTATATATAATGCAGTATTTATTTGTGTGAACTTATACAGTCATTTAATCTATAGATAAGGATCATTTCCTCTCACTTTGGCTAACACTCATACCTCATTTCTTTTTTTTTTTCCTCTCTTCTTGCATTAGGATCATCAGTGAAATCTTGATCGGTAGGGGTATAGCAGGCATTCGGGTCTTAAAATGAACTTTACTGGTAGTATTTCTACTATTTGCCATAAAGATAATGAATTATACGTCTTATCAGGTCAGGGAAGTTTCTTTTTATTCTTGTTCATTGAGTTGTTATTTTTTTCAATCATGTATGGGTATTAAATTTTATTAAGCCCATTCAGTAAATTTTTCATTTTGGTTATTGTACATTTTACATTTATTTATTTGCTAATAAAGGCTATTGGCAATAGTTTATAAAATTATTTCCTCCTATATGAAATGTTTCTGATCATAATAACTTAGTTTTAATATTTGATAAACATTTATTAAAGCATTTCAGTTTGAGATTATCATCTTTTGTTTGATGTGGTGATCAGTTTTCAGGATGTGACCTGGTGGATGCCAACTACCATATCACGAGGACAGTCATGCAGCTCTCTGGCAAGGCCCATGTGAAGAGGAACTGAGATCTCTTGCCCACCACGTGGGTGAGTGTTATGGGCTGAATTGTGTCCCCCCGAATTCATACATTGACGTCCTAACCCCCAGTGCCTCAGAGTGTGACCTTCTTTGGAGAAGGAACCTTTAGAGGTAATAAAGTAGAAATGATGTTATTAGGGTGGACTTGAATCCAATATAACTGGTATTCAAAGAGATAAGGACACAGACACAAACAGAGGGAAGACCAGAGTGGACCCAGGCAGGAGACGGCCGTCTTCATGCCAACGAGAGCAGCCTCAGAAGAAACGAACGCAGCCAGCACCTCAATTCCTGACTTGTAGCTTCTACAACTATGAGGAAATAAATCTGCTGTTTAAGCCATCCTGTCTGTGGTACTTTGTTATATCAGCCCTAGCAAACAAATAGGGTGAGCCACCTTGGAAGCGGCTCCTCCAGCGCCAGTCATCAGATGACTTCAACTTTGGTTGATATCTGACTGTCACCTCGTAAGAGATCTGAAACCAGGACAACCCAGCTAAGCGACTCCTAAATTCCCTGACCCAGAGAAACCTTGTGAATGCATAAATATTTGTTCTGGTTTTAAATCATTAAGCTTTGGGGTAATTTTTTTAGCTATAGCAGAGAATAAATACAGTAGATTAAAAAGAAATAATTAAATATTAGTTCTATTTAATTGGCAGGCTTAGGATTATATCATATGCCATTCAGAACTCAATTTGATATGACAAATACCATCTGATTTTGAGGCCTGTTGCTTTAATAATGAAATAAACTCTACTCTGCACTCAACTTTAAAGTGTAAAAAAATTCCAAATATCACCTTTGGTTCTGGTTCAAATTTATTACACATAAAAAGAAGACCTCTTACATGTGTTTCTTTATCAATGTAGCTCGACATACCAGAAAATTAAAATAAAGGAATCAGCAGAATTCCTCTGGGCACTGTTTCTCCAGAACGGCATTCCACATTAGCCCAGCAAGCCTGGGGGTCTCAGCTAGACCTCTCTTTGCTTGTACATATTCTCAAGCAAACAAAGGAGAAGACAGACCAGAATTGCAAAGGTGAGCTTTGCAGGGTTGCCCGCAGTACCTTTTGATGGCTACCAGCTCCCCAGATTCGTTGCTCTTGCCCATCAGCACACTCCCATAGGTGCCGTCCCCGAGCTGTCTCATGGTCGTGTACCGGTTCATCTTGCAACAATGATGCAGCAGAAGTTGTTGACTGAAATGACTTCTCTGTTGAATATAAATGTAAATGCTTCTTTACTTGTTTTTGCCTTTAGACTGTTGTCGCTACACTGGTGACAGGTTTGTCATCATGAAACAGCCTCTTCCCCCAAGATCATGTAGGTTCATGAGATAGAGCAGTAAGGAGTCTGCTAGCAAGGCAACAGGGCTTCCATCCTTATGCACACCCTATAAAGAAACAGAACCATCGTAAAGGGAATTCTCATTTAAGAATCTCTTCAACAAATTTACTGGTAACCTGCAGCACAGATAAAAATTGTAAATAATATAAATAGCAATGTGTTAAATGTTTGCCAGCACCTCATTTGTGCTATGTGGAATGAATTTCACATATAACAGACTGACAATACTCATTTGGTGAATGCTTCATATACATACTACTGTGCTATTTATCTTAGGAATGTTCAATTAATTTGGCTTAATGATTGTATGAGTCCTTTCTTATTGACTGTAATCTATATTATTCCAAGTCAGTTTTTAGAAAATCAGACATCCGTGTGATATAATTCTTTGAATCAACTTTTGCACCATATTTAATTTAGTCCATGATCCCTTATGTGAAACTCCTGGACCAGATGTGTTTGGAATCCAGGAATTTGCATATTTTAGAAAAGTGTTACAGTGCATATACCATATGTTATGTAACAGCTCCCAAGCAGCATCTTAATGTAGCTGCAGAAAAATGTGTGAGAAGTACACTTAAGTAAAATAAATGAAGACCATAATTTCTAGAACGTAAGTTCAGAGGTAAGAAAATGCCAGGCCTTACATCATTTAGATCATGTTTTGTTGCAAATTAGTTCATACAACTTTACTGGAAAAATTTCATTTTCAGAGCTCTGTGGATTTTGAAACTACAGATAAGAGCTGTGGATCTGTGTATCTTAGAAGGGCACAGGTTTCAAGAGGCTGATTTTATTATGCAATTAAAGAAAAACAACAGCCTCAGTGTCCACCCCTCACAGTGCTCAGTAGTTTCCTCCCATTGTTTGGTCTCAGCTCCATAATTCAAGGAACTGTTTCTATTTCATACCTATTTATCATTCTTACCTTGCTTTTAAAAGTCATTATTATTCCGTTACAAGGCTTGTGCTTAGTGACCGATGGTAATAAAATGTTTGGCACCATTAAAAGAAATCATTTGGTTTAAAATGTCTTTTATGATTTATTGCTTCAGAGAATATTTTTCTTTCACTGTAGCACTGTTTCCATCTCCACAAAATAAAATCCTAGAAATTGTTTTTTTATTAGATGCAGACATTTAGGACTGAAAAGGGTATGTTGCGTTTGTCAAAGTACCTAAGGCTTCTAAAAACTGCCCTTCAGGAGAAGGCAACACACATGAGCAGAGAAGTACAGTAAAACTATGTTGCTTCCCGTGCACAAGAATATATTTCTCTGAAGGAAACTTTATAAGAACCATGTGGGGCTTTTAAGTAACAGGGAATGTGTATTAATTTATCATTTATTTTACTTCTTATAGATAATAAGCCCTTCAAAGGCACATATAGACTACTTTAGGTTATGCTAACTCCATGGCCAGCATCTTGAAAAAGATGATGATGATAGATTTCACTTCTATTTAGGGGTTCCCTCATTTTTCTCAGCTTAAGTCTGAGCAAATGGTCTCAACAAATGCCAGCAGATGATTCCCCATTTGCCTGAAAATTAAGTTTTTTGTAAGTAGTCTACATTATACATTGACACAATTCTGAGTATCGAGGCATATATAGAAAAAGACAACATCCCTCTTCATGGTTCCTGACCAAAACATGTTGTTTGCTTTTCTTAATTTTTCCTTTACCTATTTAAGGAAATGTAATATGGAAAGATATTTTGGGTTTTTGTTTTTACTATGTACTATGATTAAACAAAACACAGACTAAAATGTATTTCTTCCAATCATGTAGAATTTTATTAAATCATATTTGGCAATTTACTAGCAACTTGTTAAATTACTTGACATTCTTTTCTAGCTACCTTGTTTAAGGTGACATATACCTATCTCTTTTAAAGAAAGGTGCTTTCTATAGGTTTACTTATCCCTTCTGGTTAAGTAATAATATGGAGAATATATTTGTCCAGAGGCCCTAATGTTCATCATATCAGTAAGACTGTAAAATAAAAACAGAAGGATTAAGTGACCTATTATCAATCAGGAACCAATAATAGAGTCAGTCTCTAATACTTGTATCAGGCTTGAAGCTGTTTGTTTTTTTGTGGTGCGGTCCCCAGCTTCCAAACAGCACATCCTTACCTAGCTTTTACAATCACTAGTGCGGCAAAAAGAACTATGCCCTCTTTGCTCCAAAACTATGCTGACTCTGCCCCACAACAAAATATGCCCACCTGACCTCCATCATAATACTCCTAAGCCAACTCCCCAACATAAATACCAAGATGCTCCTGAATGACTGGAAATTGCAAGTGGGGTTCCCTATCCTGGGGCTACATTTGGTCCCATTCCTGGGAGGGCACTGTAAAGATAAGAGGCCAGAAATAGTGAAAGGAAAGAGAGTATGAGCTGGGTGGAGGGAGTCTACCCAGAGCTTCCCTCAGGAAAATAATTTAATTAAGAAATTTGATGGGAAAACAGCATCATCTTTTCTTTGCAATTTCTTTTCAGGTTAACACGTAACTGAGGACATGCACTGAGGGTCTGAGAGGTAGAAAGTAATGTAAGCAAGTCTGGCAAAGGACATATTGCCCAGGTGGGAACAAAACTTTGGAGGTAAGAAAATGCCAGGAATAGTAGTAAAAATTTTACCCTTCGATGACATAATAGCCTCTTAAAGAGGAATTAATTGGGTCTTTCTCTTCCACTGCTAAGAGTGTCAGCCACTACTATCACCAATACTATTAGCAAAACAGATCATTCAGTCACTGGTGACTCTGCATTGGCCTGGAAGCCCAGGCATTTCTGGTGTGGCGATGGTAGAACTTCATCCAAGCCCAAGCAATGAACTTCCAAACCAACCAACTTCCAAGTAAACACAAAGTTTGTTTATGAGAGGATGGCTGTAGCATAGGGCACACTTACATTCAAGGAAGAATAAATAAGGGACACAGCCATTTCTCAGCTTCTTTTGTGTGAGGGGTGGAATGGTGAAGGTAATGGATATAACATACTTTTTAAAAGGTCTGATTGGTGGCTCTGAGAGAACCTGTACAGTTTAAGCCCTACCTAACTTTTAAGTAAAACAAGATTACATACCATGCTCCAAAACAAAAACTTTAGAAAGGTTTCTTTTGATTCATATTAATTACAAAATAAATAGCTCTCCAGGGTGAGAAGCTATTTCAGCTGTCCCCTTAGGCCTCTGAAACTATAAGGAAAATGGCCTAATGTAAAGAGTCATAAAGTTTTTTTAAAAAGTCATTATTCATGCAAAAGATGGCAGTGTGAGGGGTGAGACAGAGGCTTCCTCCTAAAACCACATATAATATGAAAATATAATTAATACAACTAATCCTGAGAGAGCAACAGGAAAGAGGACTGCACCAGACTGCATACATCTGGAGAAAACAGCAGACTTCATGGAAAAGGGTAGCATATCAAAGCTGTGGCCCGGCGGGACCCGAGCCCTTCCCCCACTCCAGCTCACCGGCAGGAGGAAGAGAAATAGAGCAGGGAGGGAGTGGAGGCCTGGGACTGCTGAATACCTAACTCCGGAGATCTGGTCTGGGAGCACAAACCTACATTTCACGGTGCTTTCATGACACTCGCGTAATTACGGAGTTGAAAAGCTAAGACAGGCAGGATTCCTGGAGAGACTGAGATTACAGCCACTTGTGGAAAGCAGGGATCCGTATCCGGCTGCTCTGGGACAAAAGCTTATACCTGTGTGCTCAGCCCACTGGTTCAGGCAGTGGAGACAGGTATAGCGGCCGGGAAGAAGGAAACAGCTCTTTCCTCCTGCCAGGCACCAATCCCACTCCCCTGCGACCACTGACATTGCTTCAGGGGCTGAGCAGCTCCAGAGAGTAGAGCTTCTGGACACTAGAGGGTGCCATATACAAATATGAAACACCAAAGGAACCTGGTACAAAGTAAAATTAATATAACCCCTGAATAAGATGATATGGATCTCATGACTCTTCCTGAAAGGGAGTTCAAAATAAAAATCATTAACATGCTAATGGAGGTACGGAAAGATATTCAAGAACTCAGGAATGAATTCCAGTCGAAGATCCAATCGTTGAAGAGCACAGTGGAGGGTATTAAAAGCAGATTGGCT